TTATTATTTAAGTAATGTATACTTCACATATTGCTAGTAATGAGAACTAAGGTAACTGATAATTAGAAATATATTGATTGTATTGCATGGCTTTCATGATACTTCAAAAATTACCTTTTAAATTTTCATCATTTAAGTGGAAAACTCATATGTAATACTGGAGTCTTTTTGAAATATTTATAATCTTCATACTAATATTCAGACATGAAACTAAGTCCTGAAGTGAAGTAGCTATGGAACCTTGAGACAATATTTATAAATCAAAGTAAGACCCACAATCCATGCGTCTCTAAGACTGTCCTTAGGTTTGTGGCCCCAGCTGCTACTTAATGTCTGTGGTTGGCTTAGTGCCTCTGCTCAGATTTTCAGACTTTGGTTGTTTTAAAGCTAAATTCAGAATATTGTATCATTAGAGTTAATTATAATTATGAAGTACATTGTAACTTAACTTTTTACACAGAATGAAGCTTGGGGAGAAGAAGCTAAAGTAGAATTTTTGAAAATGGTAAATAACAAGGCTGTTCTAATGAAAGTTTTTAGAGAAGAAGATGGTGTGCTTATTGTAGATCTGCAGAAACCACCAACAAATAAAATAAGCAGTGACATGCCTGTGTCTCTTAGAGATGCATTAGTTTTTATGGAACTGGCCAGGTAAGTAATTTATTAAACCTTAAATATTTTTTGAGATAATAGATATAAATTGGAATAGCAGGTTTTACCTTTAAAACTATGGGCCCAAAGTAAACCTCAACATACTCTGTAAGAGGTTAAAAATATTGCTGTCAAGTTTTCTAATTACAATTGCCTGTGAAAACTACATTCACATAATTTGATTTAAGGAAATAGAGAAAGTAAGGTACCTCAAAGTAGAAACTATTTGTAGTTACTGAACATTTTTTATACTCTTTATAAGTTCACAAGTAACTACACTAGGATTTCAATAATTGTAGTTTGACAATTCCTGCCTTCAATATTCTAACCATTCTGTATTTAATATATGGCTCTAGAATCCTATATAATAAAGAGGTAATATGAAAATTAACCCTCACACCCTCACAAGATGACTGCCTACGACCAGGCCAGCAGGTTGGGTAGTGAGGGACGACCAAATGACTGAACAGCAGGCTGCATGGGGCGACCAGGCCAACACGGGGAGGGGAGTGGGGAGAATGAGGGGTGACCAGGCCAGCAGGGATCAGGGGTGGTTGGGGGCAACCAGGCAGGCAGGCAAGTGAGCAATTAGGAGCCAGTGGTCCAGGATTGTGAGAGGGATGTCCGACTGCCGGTTTAGGCCCAATCTAGGCAGTCGAACATCCCTCAAGGAATCCCGGATTGGAGAGAGTGCAATGTAGGCTGGGCTGGGGGGGCCTCCCCCATAAATGAATTTCGTGCACCAGGCCTCTGGTATGGGTACTAATATAACTTTCTTTCCTTCTTCATCTCTGATGAATGAAGATGACTAAGTTACCACAGAGATAGTGGAAGATACTTTCTGTCCTGAATGGTTACACAACTCTGGAAGTAAACCAAGTAGGTTCCATTCTGAAAAAATAAGAGTAGAGTCTGGGAGCCAGAAGGAGACATAGAGAGCACACAACTGTCTTCATTGACTGCTACCACAAAGTGGTCACCAATTCAACTAAAAGAGCAGAAACTTAGAATCTGAGTAGAGTTTACAGATCCAGCTCGAAAATGCTCCAACACCAATTTGAAGATTAATTATTGAGTTTTAAGACTTGACTTTTTTTTTTTTTTTTTTTGTAATACCTATCCAAGGATTTTTTTTTCATTGATCCGTAGAGAAAGTGGAACAGCAATGGGGAGGGGAGAGAGAGTGAGAGAGGCACATCAATTGGTTGCCTGCTTCCAGACCGCTGCAGAGATCAAACCTGCAACCCATGTATGTGCCCTTGACTGGGAATCGAACCCTCAACCCTTCAATGTGTGTTCTGACACTCTAACCCACATGTGTCAAACACAAGGCCCGCGGGCCAAATCCGTCCCGCCAGGCCTTGCAATGTGGCCCACACCGCACTGTCATCACTGCACTCCACTGCGTTTCCATCACAATGACAGTTTATGACTGTTCAGTAAACCATTCGGCCCGCGATTTAGGCTGGATTTTAGATTTTGGCCCCTTCTCTGATTGAGTTCGACACTCCTACTCTAACGACTGACCAACACTGGCCAGGGCTTGACATCTTATTTAACCTGGTTTGATAATTGGAGACAATACCAAGAAGTGTTATAAGTTAGAAGAGAGAAATTGGAAAGGGAATGAATACTCTTGGTAGATAAATCAATGTATGTGCAAGTCCTTTCTTCAGTTCAAGTCTCTGAGAGGAGAGACTTCAAGAAAATGGCTCCTGCTTATGTTTTAATTATTCTTTTAATTAGGTTTAGGTCACACTCACCAAGAAGTCATTCTGAAAAAAATGTGATTTTACACTATCATCCACCTATTTTGCCTAAAGAAATGACAGATGTTTCCGTTATGGTTTGTCATATAAATAGTCCTACTGATTTCTATCTTCAATTGGTAAGTATATAGTGTTCCTTTGAGACAAATATTTTTGCAAGTTTTAAAGTAGAAATTAGTACGTAGTATGAATTTTAGATCAAATAAACTGCTATGAACCTACTATAAATTGTAAGTTTCTTCATGGGTGCAACTTTGCATAACAAATGCATGTGACTTAGTAAATTGAAGGAGCAAATTAGTGATATCTGGAGAGAAGAGACAGTAAAGGATATATTAGGTATAAATGTTTCTTATTACCATCTGAAATCTATAGTTGACTCTTGGACAACATGAAATGCTGACCGTCACCCCTCCGTGCAGTAAAAAATCCGTGCAACTTTTGACTCCCCCAAAAACCTAATTACTAATAAATAACCTATTGTTAATCAGAAACCTTACCAATAACATAGTCAGTTATCATATTTTGTATGTTTTATGTGTTAAATACTGTATTTTACAATAAAATAAGCTAGAAAAAATAAAATGTTACTAAGAAAGTCATAGAGAAAATACATTTAACAATATTTATTGGAGAAAAAAATCCACAAATAAGTGGATGCATGCAGTTCAAACCCGTTTGTTCAAGAGTCAACTGTAGGAAAAGCACATAGAGCTGACAAATCAAAATAAAATGATAAAACCTGTTTCTGATCATGTATATCTGAGAATTTATGAATTAGCACTAAGTAATTTTCAGAATTTGTACACCAAAATAGTTTCATATTAAAGACATGTCAAATTAAATTTTAGATGTGTGACTGGTGGGTTTAGGTAACTACTAACAAGAAGTTCATTGTTATTGATCTCTTTACATCAGTGCTTTATATGAATAACTCATTCTAAGGGCCATAATGCTATGTGTGAGTTAACTCATTAATCTTCACAACAACCCAATGAGAAAGATGCTATTGCCTTCCTTTAGATGTGGAGCCTAACCAGAGGGATGAAACAACTTGCCTTAGGTCATATAGCTACAAAGAATAGAGTCAGGATTGAACTGGGCAGTGCAGCTTCATTCAGAACCTTTCACTCAAACATTTTACCATGCTATACCACCTTCTTATAGGGGTTGTGGAAATCTCCCTATATGGCACTAAATAGAACTTACATGTATTTCTTCTGTTGAATTTTACTTAATGTCTTTATTATTTTTAAATCTTTATTGTTCAGATTATTACAGTGGTTTCTCCATCCCCCTCTTCCTCCCACCCCCGCCCCCATCATAGCTCCCCTACACCTGGTCTCCACTCCACCTTCGCCCTTACCTCTCCCTTCTTCCCCCCCCCCCCCCGTCCTCATCCATAGATATATGATTTTTGTCCAGTCTCTTCCTGTACCCCACACACAGACACCGCTTTTCCCCTGAGAATTATCAATCCCTTCCCATTCTATGCCCCTGATTCTATTATATTCACCAGTTTATTCTGTTCCTCAGATTTTTAATTCACTTCACTTTTAGATTCACTTGTTGATAGATATGTATTTGTTGAACATAATTTTTATCTTTACTTTTTTCTTCTTTTTCCTCTTTTTAAAGAACACCTTTTAGCATTTCATATAATACTAATTTGGTGATGATGTACTCTTTTAGCTTTTTCTGATCTTTGAAGCTTTTTATCTGCCCTTAAATTCCGAATGATAACTTCACTGGGTAAAGTAATTTTGATTGTAGGTTCTTGCTATTCATCACTTTGAATATTTCTTGCCACTCCCTTCTGGCTTGCATAGTTTCTGTTGAGAAATCAGCTGATAATTGTATGGGTGCTCCCTGGTAGGTAACTGTTTTTTTCTTGCTGCTTGTAAGATTCTCTCTTTGTTTTTTGCTCTTGGCATTTTAATAATGATGTGTCTTGGTGTGGTCCTCTTTGGATTCCTTTTGTTTGGGGTTCTGTGTGCTTCCTGGACTTGTAAGTCTATTTCTTTCACCAGGTGGGGGAAGTTTTCTGTCATTATTTCTTCAAATAGGTTTTCAGTGTCTTGCTCTCTCTCTCTTCTTCTGGGACCCCCATAATTCTGATATTGGTATGCTTGAAGTTGTCTCAGAGGCTTCTTACACTATCTTCAACTTTCTGGATTCTCTTCTCTTTTTGCTTCTTTAGAAGAGTGTCCTTTGCCTCTTTGTATTCCATATCTTTGACTTGATTTCATCTAGTCTGCTGTTGGATCTCTGTATAATATTTTTTTATTACAGTCAGTGTATGTTTAGTTTCTAGTTGGTTTAATTTCTTTTTCATATCCTCAAGGATCTCGTTAAATTTATTGGCCTTTTCTAGGAAGTTCTTAAAAAACCTTATAGCCATGGGTTTGAACTCTATAGCCAGTCTTTTGTTCTCCTCTCTTTCTTTTGTTTGAGATCTTCCTTTCCTCAGCATTTTTGCTGCTTATGCAAAAGCAGCTGTGTGGAGCCTGGGCGGGTTTGTAGAATGTGTGGGGCGGAGTCTCAGGACATCACTAGGCTGGGGTGTGGCAAACAGTGATGGCTGCTGTCAGCCGTCTCTGCCTTTCAGTGTTTCCAAGTCTCCATGCTCCAGTGCAGTAAACAATGATTGCTGCACGCACCTCTGCAAAAAAGTCACCCTCACTTTCGGACCTGATGGCCAACAGACTAGCTTCTCCCCATAGACGTCTGGGTCCCCTGTGTAACCCCAGAAACTGGATTTCAAAGTGATCCGGAGCTTGTTTCCCTTCTGGTTGAAAAAAAGTCCCGCGCCCATTCACCCGCCACCAGCCTGATTCGCATGCCTCTAGGCTTTTCAGCTTTTCAGTGCTTGTGCTCCTTTCTCTTTCAGCCAGCTTTCCTGGGGTTTTGGATGATAGACGTTTTGTCTTTTAGTTGTAGTTTTGAAATTGTTGTGCGAGGTGGCAGATTAATTGCTCATCTACACCGCCATCTTGGTTTTCCTCTGGTATATTCTTTTTACTACTTAATGTCTTTAAATTGAAGTAAAACATATATAATAAAATTTACCATTTTAAGTGTACAGCTCAGTGCCATTAAGTATATTCCCGATGTTGTTCAGCCATTACCACCATTCCTCTCCAGAGCATTTTGTTCTTCTCAAACAGAAGCTCCATTTCCATTATACAGTAACTCCTCATTCTACTCCACCAGTGTCTGATAACCTAGTCTACTTTCTGTGATTACCTATTCTAGATACCTATAAGTGGAAAACAAACACTAGTTTTCCTTTCGTGTACCTTATTATGTGTACTGTATTTTCCGGCGTATAAGACGACACTGTGTTCTAGTAAAAAGCCTGCTCAGATTGGCCAGAGTCTATTAAAAAAAGAACTGGTGTTGCCTCAGAAGTGGGGGGTAGTCTTATACAGCGAATATAGGCCTAAACCTATGTTTTAACTGTAAAATTAGGGGGTCGTCTTATACGCCGGAAAATACGGTAGCATATTGTAGCATGTATCAGAATTTCATTTCTTTTTATGGCTAATATTCATTGTATGTATATACCACATTTGTTTATCCATCTCTTGATAAACACTTGGATTGTTTTAACCTTTTGGCTATTTTGATTAATGCTATTGTGAACATGGGTCTGTTTGAGTCTTTCCTATGTAGATAATGAGGAGTGCAATTGCTGGATTATAGTATAATCTGTTTTAATTTTTTTTCAGTATTATTTTTGTACTAACTTCAGGTATACAGCATACTAGACAATCATGTACTTTACAAAGTGGTTCCCCCAGTATATTCCAGTACCCACCTGGCACCATATATAATTTGCATCCCCATGACTATTTTGTAACTACCAATTTGTCTTCTTAATCTTTTCACCTTTTTCACACTGTCCCCCAACCCTGCTGCCCTCTGGTAACCATTAGTTTCTTCTCTGTATCTATGAATTTGTTTCTAGTATTTTTTTTCATCTATATAGTTTAGATTCCAATGAAAGTTAAATCATATGGTACTTGTCTTTTTCTGACCAATTTACTTAACATAATACCCTCTAAGTCCATCCATCAGTTGCAAATTGTAAGAGTACATTCTTTTTTATGGTCAAGTAATATTCCATTGTATATACTGTATGTATAACAGCTTTTTTATCCTCTCATCTATTGATGGACACTTGGGTTGCTGCAGTGAATATAGTGGTGCACATATTCTTTCAAATTGTTGTTTTGGGTTTCTTCAGCTATATACCAAGAAGTGGGATTGCTAGGTTATAAGATAGCTTGATTTTTAATTTTTTTAAAAAAATTAGACAGTATGGATCATTCATACTGTTTTCTGTAATGGCTGTACCAGTATTCATTCCCACCTATAATAGTGTACAAGGGTTCCCTTTTTCCACATCCTTGCTAACACTTGATTGTTGATTTATAGATGATAGCCATTCTGACTATTGTGATTTTAATTTGCATTTCTCTGATATTAGTGATGTGTAACATCTTTTCATATGTCTGATGGCCATCTGTTTGTCCTCTTTGAAGAAGTGTCTATTCAGGTCCTCTGCCCATTTTTAAATAGGATTATTTGGGGGGTTCTTTGGTGTTGGGATGTATGAGTCCTTTATAGATTTTGGATATTAACCCTTTATCAGATGTGCCATTGGCAAATATGTTCTCCCATTCAGTAGGGACTGCCTTTTTGTTTTGTTGAAAATATCCTTTACTGCAAAAGCTTTTTAGTTTGATGTAGTTTCATTCCTTTTATTTCGTTTTCCTTTGCTCAAGGAAATATATCAGAAAAACATTGCTAAGAGAAATGTCAAGAGATTATACTGCCTGTATTTCCTTCTAGGAGTCTCATGAATTCGAGTATTTAAGTCTTTCATCCATTTTGAGTTTATTTTTATATATGTTGTTAGAAGTGGCATCGTTTAATTAAACACCTAGTTTAAATTTTTTTCATGTGCCTCTTCAATTTTCCCAACACCATTTATTGAATAGACTTTCTTTACCCCATTGTATTTTCTTGACCTCCTTTGTCAAATACTAACTGACCATATTGGTATGGGCTTATTTTTGAGTTCTTTGTTCTGTTCCATTAATTTGTGTATTTTTATTCTAGTATTTTTAAAAAAGATATTTTATTGATTTTTTTACTGAGAGGAATAGAAAGTTAGAAACATTGATGAGAGAGAATCATCGATCAGCTGCCTCTTGCACACCCCCCACCGGGGATGTGCCCGCAACCAAGGTACATGCCCTTGACCGGAATCGAACCTGGGACCTTTCAGTCCCCAGGCTGACGCTCTATCCACTGAGCTCTATCCACCGGTTTCGGCTAATGATGTTTTTATTACTAGAGCCTTGTAGTATAGTTTGATATCAGGTAGCTTGATACCTCCAACTTTGTTCTTATTTATTAAGATTGCTGAGGCTATTCAGGATCTTTTGTGGTTCTATATAAATTTTTGGATTATTTGTTCTAGTTCTGTTGGTATTTTGATAGGAATTACGCTGTATCTATAGATTGCTTTAGGTAAAATGGACATTAAAAATTTTTTTTTTAATTTTAGAGAGAAGGGAGAGGGATAGAGAGATAGAAACATTGATGGGAGAGTAACATCAATCAGCTGCCTCCTGCATTTCACTCACTGGGGATTGAGCCCACAACCCAGGCATATGCTCTGACTGATAATTGACCCATGACCTCCTGCTTCATAAGTTCACACTCAACCACTTAGCCACACTGGCCAGGCTGGACATTTTTTTTTTTTTTCCTTTCAAAATCATTTTATTGTAGGCAACTATTTCCTTTACGGGTGAAAATAGCTTGGATTTAGTACATGCTTAATAAGTACTGTTTCTTAATATGCTTGAATATGGTAATTAAGCTCTGAGCTCAGCCATTTGCAAATCTTTATCCAGGTTGAACCTTACCCAGAGTGAGCAAGGGTTTAGTCTTCTTTCCCATTGTCTAAGACAATGATTGTCAACCTTTCTCATGTCATGGCACAAATAAACAAATTACTAAAATCTGTGGCACAGCCGAAACCAGTTTGGCTCAGTGGTAGAGCATCGGTCTGCGGACTGAAAGGTCCCAGGTTCGATTCCGGTGAAGGACATGTACATTAGTTGTGGGCACATCCCCGGTAGGGGGTGTGCAAGAGGCAGCTGGTCGATACTTCTCTCTCATTGACATTTCTATCTCTCTCCTTTCCTCTCTGTAAAAAATCTATAAGAAATAAAAAATAAATAAATAAAATCTGTGGCACAACAAAAAATATATTCTTGCCTATCTGACCCAGAAAACAGTTATATTTTTTATTCATTCATACTGGACAGCTATTGTGTCATTTTGAAAAATATGTTTTTATTGATTTTAGAGAGGAAGGGGGAGGAAGAGATAGAGACAGATAAAGAAACATGATGAGAGAAACATAAATTGGCTCAGGCTGGACATTTTAATGAGGCTAATTCTTTATATCCATGAACATGGCATATGCTTCACTTATTTGTATACTCTTCAGTTTCTTCCTTTAGTGTATAAATTTGAAAGTACTGGGTTTTACCTCTTTGATTAATACCTAGGTATTTTTAAATCTATTAAATTTATTGGGGTGACATTGGTTAGTAAGATCAGATATGTTTCAAGTGTACATTCTGTGATAAAAGATCTGTATATTGCACTGTGTGCTCACCACCTAAAGTCAAACCATCTTCCGGTCATCATATATTAGGCCCCCCCAATCCCCTCCCTTCTGACAACCACCATACTGCTGTTTGTGTGCAGGTGTTTCAGTTTCATACCTCACATGTGAAATGATATGGTTCTTAGCTTTTTTTTTTTTAATTGATTTTTTACAGAGAGGAAGAGAGAGAGATAGTTAGAAGCATCAATGAGAGAGAATCATCCATCAGCTAAGAGAAAATCATCTATCAGCTGCCTCTTGCACACCCCCTACTGGGGATGTGCCCACAACCAAGGTATATGCCCTTGACCAGAATCGAACCCGGGACCTTTCAGTCCGCAGGCCGATGCTCTATCCACTGAGCCAAACCGGTTTGGGTGGTTCCTAGCTTTTTTTGACTGACTTATGTCAGCATAATATTCTCAGGGTTCATCCATGTTGCAAATGGCAGTATTTCATCTTTTTTTATTTTAATTTTTTAGTTTTTTAAGTATATTTTATTGATTTTATGGAGAGTAAGGGAGAGGAATAGAGATTTAGAAACATCAATGAGAAAGAAACACCAATCAGCTGCCTTCTGCATGCTACCTACTAGGGATGTATGTACCCACAACCAAGGTATATGCCCTTGTTCAGAATTGACTGAGCCAAACCAGTTAGGGCTATTTCGTCTTTTTTTAAAACAAGTAGCATTCCATTGTGTATATGTACCGCATCTTCTTTATCCAATTCTTGGTTGTCTCCATATCTTGGACACTGTGAATAATGCTGCATGAACATAGGGGGAGATATTCTCTCTCTCTCTCTCTCTCTCTTTCTTTCTCCCCCCCCGCTCCGGAATGCATGAAATTCATGCAAGAGTAGGCTTTCCTTCCCCCGGATTCCCTCTGGCACCTGGGACCCAGGCTTGCCTCACAGCCCTGGTTTCATCCAGAAGGTTGTCTAGTTAGCATATTACACTTTTATTATTATAGATATTTTTTATTTTTTCAGGTGTATATCCAGGAGATGGATTGCTGGGTCCTGTGGTAATTCCATTCTTGTTTTATTGATACTGACAGAGAGGAAGTGAGAGAGAGACAAAGACGGAGAAAAATTGGTAGATTGCCTCCTACACATGCTCCAACTGGGGATGGAACCCATAACCTGGATTCTAACCAGCCATCTTTTGGTCTATGGGATGATATTCCAGCCAATTGACCATACCAGCCAGGGCTGATAGCCCTATTCTTAATTCTTTGATGAACTGCCAGACTGTCTTCTATAGTGGCTGTACCAGTCAACATTCCAACCAGCAGTGAATTAGGGCTCCCTTTTCTCCACAACCTCTCCAACACTTGTTATTACTTGGCTTTTTGATAACAGCCCTTCTAACAGGTTTGAAGTGGTATCTCATTGTAGTTTTAATATGCATTTCCATAATTGCTAGTAAGGTTGAACTTCTCTTTATATATATGTTGGCTGTTTGCATGTCTTCGTGGGAGGGGTGTCGTTCATTCTCTGCCCATCTTTTAATTGGATTGTTTGTTTGATAAATGTTGAATTTTATGAGTTCTTTTTATATATTGGATATTAAACCTATGTTGTGGCTTTTGTCGAAATTATCTGCTCATATACATGTGATTTTATAGCTGGGCTCTCAATTCTGTTTCATTGATCTCTGTGTCTGTTTTTCTGCCAATAACATGTAGCTCTATAATATAATTTGAAGTCAGGTAGTATGATACCTTCATGTGTTCCAGTTTGCTTCTTGAAGATTTTTCATTAAAAAGAAAACAGTAGAATTTATTTATTTAATATGTATTGATTATTAAATGCCAGCTGCTAGGGTACAGATAATACTTCTTTTATGAAAATTATACTCTGGAAAGACACATTGTAAATAAATAGTATACATGAAAATATATTCAAATGTTATAAGGTGAATAAAGGTGGGGAGGGCTGTCAAATGAAAATGTCAAATGAAAACCACAGGACAAAGCAGAAAGAGGACAAGAGGAGGGCCACTAAGAACTAATCTAATGAGGTAGAGATGAGGTCTGGGGACAGAAAAATGGGAAAAGATTATATAGGGCCTTGGAAACCCTCTAGAAAACTTGAGAATAAAACAAAGCAATTCATAGCCAACGAAGTATTGTGTGTTTAAAATGAGTTTAATAACAGGAATCATCTCTTTTGTCTATAGTGAGGATTTACTCTTTATCCTGTGGCTGAAGAATTTTGCAAATGAGGAAAAAGGCAGTGAAAGAAACTGAAGACTTGTAGAAATTTGGCACATGTGTCCTTAGTTCCCATGGGGTTTTGGTTTTTGTTTGTTTTTTAAATATATCTGTATTGATTTCAGAGAGGAAGGAGGAGGGAGATAAAATAGAAACATCAATGATGAGAGAGAATCATTGATTGGCTGCCTCCTGCATGCTTCACACTGGGGATCAAGCTCACAACCTGGGCATGTGCCCTGACTCAGAATCGAACCATGATTTTCTGGTTCATAGGTCAATGCTCAACCACTGAGCTACACTAGCAGGGTGCCCAAGGGTTTTGCTTATGTACTAAACTGAAAGCATAAGTGGAGAGAAAGGGAATTCAAAGTGCTACTTTTAAATTTAAGTTAAGAATAAAAATGAAAAGCATCTAATCATATTGTTGAATTTGGAACAAAATGTAATAAAATTTTTAGCTTTTTTTCTGAGCCCTAAGTGCATGTGATTAAGGTATATTTTATTATGCAATTAGTAGGGCTAAATATTTCTTACATTTGAAGTATTACTGAATAATCCCGTGAATGCAAAGTAATAGAGAAACCCTTGGAAAATTTTGAAAAAGATGTTTTTTTCCTGACTTTACCTCAACATGG